TAAAACACTGGCTTGAGAAACCAGGTCTGCAATTTGTTAAGGAAAAACTGGTGTGGAATTTGCAAGTGCTGCTAGTTCTGTCTGGAATGGGGTAGAGAACTGTCTTTTAACATGGTCTAGGTCAGTGTGTCTCAAATTAGAATGTTGATAGGAATCACTTGGGGATCTTGTTAAAATACAGATTCTGATTGAGTCAGCCTGGGAGTTGACATTTCTGACAGCCTCCCAGTTGAATCCACAGGTCCTGTTCCAGGAACTATACCGAAACAGAGAAGGAATAAACTTTATTCTTAGTAAAGAGGCTTTCTAATTTCAAACACTGGCCATGTGCCAGGCAAAATGCGTATCCAATTAATTCTTCAGTTTCCCAATCTAAGCTATGGAAAGAGGTGATTGGTTCCTACAGTTCCTATTTTAGGGATATTCTTTGTGATGGAACATTAGATACACAGTACAAACAGGAAGTAATGTATCTGTAGTTCCATTTCTAGGAATACTAATGCTTTTGTGTCATGAATTAGCATTGGCTTCAGATAGATCATGATACTAATCCCTGCTCTGCCCTTAGCTAATTAGATAACCCAGAAATGTTATCTTACTTTTCTAAAACTTTCTTACCGCTTCTATAAAATAAACATGTAAGCATTCATTGAACCAATGTTTATTGGTGCATATAATGTATAGCATTGTGTGGGCACCTTAGGCTATAAAAGTAAATAAGGTGTGTCCTCACCAAGGTTGTATTTCAGATGGGGGAGAAAGGCAATATGTGAATAAAGCCAATGAACAAAAAAATTATGGAGTATGCATTCTGTGAAAGATATGATGCCATTTTTATAACAAACCAAAATATTAGAGGTGTAAAATGAGAATGCTCTGTGGAGGTGAAAATAATTCTTAAATAGGATGAAAAAGAAGGAGCCAATCAAGAGATCTCCAAAAAGAAAAGCATCCAAAGAGGACTGGCGCTAGCATTCTTTGTTAAGAAAGAGCTAGCATTATGATTGGGATTCTACGTTCAGTATAAGCAAAGTACATTATAGAAGTTGAATGAGGCATAATATGAGGCTAGAGAAAGTATGTCAAGGTCATACAGCACCTTGTAGGCTGTATGACCTTGACATACAGTGAGAAGTTTGGATTTTATATCATGTACAGGAACAAACAAAATATTCTAAGTAGGGAAATGACATGAACTAGTTTATTTGTTTTTATAAAAGCTCCATCTGATGGTGTTTGCTGACTAAATAGGAAGGGCATGAATAGAGACATGGAGTATCCAATTAGAAAGTGAACTTGGGATAGTGTTCATGGCAATGAAGGTGCAGAGGTAGGAGGAGTGAGGCCAGAGATGTTTGGGGATAAAACTGAGAAAACTTACTGAAAGATTGAATAAGATCAATTGGGCATCTGAGGATATAAAGGTAAGAAGAAACAACCAAGGATATCTCCTAAGTAACAGACAGATGGTGATATTATTCACTGAGCTGGAAAGGATTAAGGAAGACCATGTGTGTAGATAAAGGAACCAAGAACTCTGGTTTTAGTTATCACATAGGGTGGGTTGGAGAATAACATGATATAGATATAGAGTCTTCTGTGCAATGCCTAGCACTTCAGGGCTCAAGAATTTATTGTTTAACTGTTGTTATTATTCATAAGGGACTACCCACTGGAGATACCAGATGACTTTGATTGGTAAAAACATGTTAATTCTCTTGAACTCAGCAATCATGATTTTATTTTCTCCAATGGAAAATAAATATTGCTTTTGAAAATCCTGCAGTGGTGATAGAAGGATGGGATAAATTCATGTGTGCCTCAAGCAACATCAATCAAATTTTCAGCCAAGTTTTGATTACATGATCTTTATTTCTGGCAATGATGTAAAAAGCAGAAAGAGCACAGCTGGATTTTCAGCACTAGGTGGGTGCCACAAGTTCTGGAAATTGGAAAAAGCATCTTCTAACTTGGAAATTGTGGTGCTTTGTCTGGAGTAGTTAGAGGGAAAATAAATACAAATCTTCTCTTACTCCTGAGTCCTCATGACACCATTTACAGAGCAATCTCTCTGCCTATAGTTATCTTGTTTGGTCTTTGCAAAGAAATCATCCATCCTTTTGGTCAGGACGGTTGAGTGGGTGATTTTGCTCTCTGATTTCCATATCTATTGCTTATTATTACTAGAATAGAAAAGTCACATACTTTTAGTAGTTTGCCAACTTGACTGCATATAAAAACTGCTGGCAAGTAAAAAAAATATATAGTGTTAAATTCATCCCCAGAGATTTATTTCATTAGGCCTAGCAATCTTGGTTCTTAAATGGCTCCTCCATGATTCTGATGGAACTGCTTCACAAACATCATTTGCAAACCTTTGATCTAGTGGTCAGGGTGTTATGTCATGATTTAAAAACTTCAAGTAGTATTCTTGTTTTTGCCGGTGACTTGTTTGTTGTGTGGCATTTGGAAAGTCACTTCATGGTTATTAATGTGTAGTTTCCTATCTGTAAAATGAGATAATTTAGGCTCCCTGACTCCATTGGGTTGAAGAAAATAAAGGAAGTGAGAAAATATAATGAGAAGAATGTTTCATGTGAGATGACTTGGACAAGACTTAAGAAGTCTTGGAGTTGCTGTCCTAGTGAGGGCTTATCTGCATGCATTAATCTAGTGTCTAATATCATCATTCTTAGAAATGCAAATCATTGATGATTTCAAAGTGTATCTTAGCTCTTAATTCAGGTACTTTATACAAAGGAGTTGGACAATCATGAATAAATCAATGTTTTCATTAATGATTTTCAAGGAAACAGACTGTTAACATGTGACCCAGGGTACCCCAAATCACTAAGAGGTGCATGTTCTAAAGGATTTGGCCATGCATGTGCATAAAGGCAAAGGAAGCAGACCCTTTGTGTGATAGATCTTTAATATATATAATTAGTGCGCATAGAGATAAAACTGATTATTAGCCATCCCGTCATGCACAAATGCCCAGGCAAACAGGGTTGGCCCAAAGCAGGGCCACGGAGGCCCAAAAACTTGCCATAAGTCTAAGGCACCTTCTGGTGGGGAACAGCAAGAAAGGGGCTAGACAAATTGAGACAAAAGGAGCAAAATCAACGTACAAATCAAGACAATGACTGTCATTGTTCTGCAAGGACAGCCTTTCCACTTGCCTCTCACTTGCGTGTCTCTTCCAAGTGTCTCTACGTGTCCCTCATCCTTGTGTCTCCTTCTAAGTCCCCCCCCAACCCCCCAAGTTCCTGGCCAAGTCAAATCTGGAGAAGCAAGAGTCTCAGAGCCCACCTGCCTTCCATGTTATGTAGCTGCACCTGGCCACCCTGCTTTAACCCTAGTTCACAGTAGTTCTCCTGTTCAGAAAGTCCAGTTCGTGGCATGGGACTTGTAATCCAGGATGGCTATGTATAAATGGGGTAGGGAAAATGGCACCTCCCTTTATCTGTAACACAAGGTTACTCCTTAACATCATCCAACTAGAAGAAATACAGAGGGAACTCTTATACCACTTGAGGGCAAAGTCCTGCCATCACTATAGGCTTCACCCCCCTTCAAGGGTCCTGCATGGAAACCAAATCTCCTGAAGCTGGAAGGAATCTAGAATACTCTGAATTCAAATTCCCTCGAGATTAACAATCTTTTTTGGAAAAAAAATAGTCAGAACCAGCCCATGACATTTGGGTGCAGAGCTTCATACCATATGGTCTTAAGATTAGTGCTCTAAGCAAGGATTGATTGGCATTGACATGGAGCCAATGAGGCAGCACTATTTGGCCTTAAGGAACTGACCAATCAAATATTTTGTGAGAAGTCTGAGGGAGGGACCTGAAGAATGTTATCCGATGGAGTAACATGCAGAAATTGTGAGAGGATTATAAGGCCAAGGAAGAAGGACAACTCGTGAGGCTGAAGACACATAAGAAACCCTGTAGAAAATAAACTAGGTTTCCTGGAGAATCAGGACTGTCTCCAGTATGTCCTCACCCCTGCCTGTCATTCCTCTTCTGGAGTCCACAGCACCAGTGTCCATTCTGCTACTTCCCTGTGCCTTCTGGAGTACCCTCTCCCTTTATTACTGATAGTACTAGTGACTGACTGTGCAGGGCCTGTCATGTGTCTGGGTGCCACTCACAGCACCCAACACAACCCATGTGAGTGATCTGTCCACCCTCACCTTTAAACTGGCAAGGAAATACATGAGGTCGACATTCCTGAATGGTTCTTCATTCTGGGTAAGGAAAGGGAGGACCTTTTCCATGGCTGAAATGTTCCAACCAATTCAGAGAAAAATACCACATGAAGTCAAAATATTTTCATCCTGGCCAAGCAAGGGTTTTCCTCTATAACCACACCGACATGCAGGGTTTCACAGCCTGGCCTCTCCCCTGGTGTCAGTGGTAAGTTCTTAGCCTCTGAAGTCTTCATTTATTAGCGTCCACTAGTTTTTAGAAGTATTTTGCCTTGTGAACCATGTGATATATAAACGTCCAGTATTTCTTTGTCATTCTGACTTGCTTTACTACACATAATTTCCTTAAATTCCTTCCACTCTGCTGTAAGTGACAACATTTCATCTCTCCTCATGATGGAATAGTATTCCATTATTTATCTACACCACATTTTCTTGATCCAATCCCTTATCAGTGGACACTAAGGTTGTTTCCATTTTTATCTATTGTAAATAATGCTGAAATAAGCATTATAGAGCATTGGGTTTTTTGATCCTGCATTGATCAAATTCACTTAAAGTTAATATGTTTAATATTAGTGTAAAGCAACTACTACTATCACTAGTACTAAAAGCACAGGCCTACCTTTACTTCCATATTTAAAAATTAGACTGGGAAGGTAGGACATTTCTTTAATAAGAGCAAGCTGCCCTGCTTATTTGCTAATCCTAATCACATATTACTGAGGATCATGTTTTCTTCCATGACTTCTATTCTGATGGGCTATTTTATTTTATGTCTTATCAGCAAGTTCCTGAAGCTACAATGCCTGGAGGGTGGAATCTGGGAACAAGGCAGCTGCATTCCAGTGGTGTGTGAGGCCCCTTCTCCTATCTTTGAAGGGATGTATGAATGTACCAATGGCTTTGAGTTCAACAGCCAGTGTGTGCTCAACTGTAACGAGGAGAGTGAAAGGGTAAGATTAAGATGATTTCTTGAACTTTGTTTTGGATCTAGCATTGTCCTAATCTTGATGATCAATCCATGAATGTTGAGTAGAAATGATCTGAATGAATCCCAATAGGCAGGATTCTAAATGGGAGTGTTTATACTATTTATAGGGAATGCAAAAGATAACCATGTTTTGGCAATATTACCTCCTGCATTCAAAACTTCCTTTTGGATAAGAAGAATCTGATGGATTGGGTAGCTGGTAAATTCAAAAAAAGCTGGGATTCTGATTTGGCAATGTGATTTCCTCCCATGCATGGCCACTGTCCAAACCTGGTTGGGAATGCTGGTATATTTTTCAATAGAAAAAAATCCTAAACAGAAATGCAAATTCCTCGGCAAACACAGCCGACAGCGCTGTTTGACTATTGTTTTCCCTAGGTTTTTGGCGCAAGAGGAATCAAATGAAAACCACAGATTTATCGTGGTTGTGTGACTAAAATCAATTTTATTTTAGAATCTTTTCAAGTACCACACACATACTTGAGACAGGATGTTAAGCAGGCCTCCTAGGCAAAGATCAGTGACCTTGACGGCTCTCTTGGCACCTGTGTTTATCTCATTGTCCAGCACGCCAAGGTAAGAACTGTAGGGCAGATGTGAAAAGCATATGCCATGAAATGAGACCCCTGAGAAATCAAACACATATGTTTACACTGATTATTTAAGGACTTGTGGATTTGACTAGATGAAGGGAGTGTTATCTGTAATTCCAAAATTTTATTTTCTTGGGTTTTGTGAGTTAGTGCTTTCTGTGTTCCACATATAGTATACATTGTGATTATCAGGTGTGGAGCCAAGAATCAGAGAAACCATCCTAAATACATGGTAAAAGGGCGTGGAATTTTGGTGAGATCAGAAATAAATATGTTATGTCTATTCAAGCAGAAAGGCAAAAGAACACCTTCAGAAAATTATGAATTGGTTCCACTGGATCAAACTCGTCTTGGAAAGATTCTGACAGGGGGCCTCCCTGGTGGCACAGGCGGTTGAGCGCAGCGCTGTGCAGCTGTCCGCAGCCTCTGCAGTGCTGGTTTGATTCCCGCCAGCCTCGGAGCAACCCACATAGCGAGACCTCTCCTGTTGTGCCCACTGCTACCCTCAGCAGTGTATTTCATCAGTCTGCCTGTTCTGTTCCCCGCTCTGTCTCTGGTGAATCCTCTCACCCTCCCACGCATCTGGCCTGTACCCCAGCTTTTGTATAAATAAAGAAACAAATCTTAAAAAAAAAGATTCTGACATTGGCCACAAGCAGCCTTGTGTGATAGTATGGATACATCAATGTAAAACACCAACTAGGGACAAATTCCAAAAACATCTCAAAACACAGAAGCTAGAGTTGATAGCTCATCTCATCCTTATGTTCCAAAGGAAAACCTATTGCTGGTACATTTTATGAGTGACAAAATCATTCATTTCCATCACATCAGAACAACAGAGAAATTGCTTTAAATATTGTCATGGGTCAGTAACAACATGGTTACTATTTCTTTTTTTTTTTTTTTTTGCTTTTTTCTTTTCCTTTTTTTTCCTTTTTTTATTTAAATTTTATTTTTATATTCCCCATACAATTACAACCCCCTTATTTTGACCCCAAGCCCTCCTTTCCCCGCCCCCCAACCCCCATAGAGTGTCTCTGGTTCATAGTTGTTTGTTGATTTTGATATTTTCTTTCTTGTAGTTATTATTTTTCCTCGTCCCTTATTTAAGTTTTCTAGATTCCTACTATGAGTGGGTCCATCCAGTATTTTCCTTTTTCTTTCTGGCTTATTTCGCTGAGCATGATCCCTTCCAGCTCCATCCATGTTACTGCAAATTGCATGTGTTTATCTTTTTTGAATGCTGAGTAATATTCCATGGTGTGTATGTATAACATCTTCTTGATCCAGTCATCTATTTTTGGGTGTTTGGGTTGTTTGCAAAGCTTAGCTATTGTAAATAGAGCTGCTATAAACATAGGGGTGCAGGTGTTCTTTGGAATTGATGTTTCTGTGTCCTTTGGGTAAATACCTAGGAGTGGAATTGCTGGATCATATGGAAGCTCTATGTTTAGTAGGTCAAGAAATCTCCACACAGCTCTCCATAGTGGTTGGACCAGTTTGCACTCCCATCAGCAATGCAGGAGAGTTCCTTTTTCTCCGCATCCTCGCCAACATTTGTTGTTGCTAGTTTTTTTAATATGTGCCATTCTCACTGATGTAAGATGGTATCTCATGGTAGTTTTGATTTGCATTTCCCTGATTACAAGTGATGTTGAACATTTTTTCATATGCTGTTGGCCATTTGCATTTCCTCTTCAGAGAAGTTTCTTTTTAGCTCTTATGCCCATTTTTTGACTGGATTATTTTCTTTGTTGTTGTTGAGTCTCATCAGCTCTTTGCAGATTTTTGTGATCAGTCCTTTATCATTAGTGTTGTGTGCAAAAATGTTCTCCCAGTTGGTGGGGTTTCTCTTTGTTTTTGTTATTGTCTCTTTTGCTGTGCAGAAGCTCTTTAATTTGATGTAGTCCCAATTGTTTATCTTTGCCTTCACTATCACTGCTTTGGGTGATGTGTCTGTAAAGATGTCTTTGATGTGCATATCATGTAGTGTTTCGCCTATATTTCCTTCTATGTATTTTATGTTTTCAGGTCTTATGGCTAGTTCTTTAATCCATTTTGAGTTGGTTTTTGTGCATGGTGTTAGGTAGTAGTCATTCTTTTGTATGCAGCAACCCAGTTTTCCCAGCACCATTTATTGAACAAACTTTCTTTGCTCCAATGCATATTCTTTGCTCCTTTATCAAAGATTAGTTGACCATAAATCTGTGGGTTTATTTCTGGATTTTCTATTCAATTCCATTGGTCTGTGTGTCTGTTCTTGTTCCAATGCCATGCAGTTTTGATGATTATGGCTTTGTAGTATAGTTTGAAGTCTGGGAGTGTGATGCCTCCATTCCCTTCTTCTTTTTTTAGGAGAGCTTTGGCTGTTCAGGGTTTTTGGTGATTCCATATGAATTTTATCAATAATTGTTCTTTTTTTTTGAAGAATGACATTGAATTTTTTATTGGAATAGCATTGAATCTGTATATTGCTTTTGGTAGGATGGCCATTTTAATAATGTTTATTCTTCCAATCCATGAGCAGGGGATGTCTTTTCCATTTCTTTGTGTCTTCTTCTATCTCTTTTAACAGTGTTTTATAGTTTTCTTTGTATAGGTCCTTTACCTCTTTTGTTAGATTTATTCCCAAGTATTTGATTTTTTTTGTTTCCATAATAAAAGGGATGTTTTTTTTTATTTCTTCTTCTTCAGATTTATTGTTTGTGTATAGGAAGGCTACTGACTTTTGCATGTTGATTTTGTATCCTGCCACTTTACTGATTGATTAGTTGAATTAGTTTTTCTGTGGAGTTTTTGGGGTTCTCTATGTATATTATCATATCATCTGCAAATAGTGATAGTTTGACTTCTTCTTTTCCTATTTGGATTCCTTGTATGTCTTTCTCTTGTCTTATTGCTCTGGCTAGGACTTCCAGTATTATATTGAAAAGCAGTGGTGAGAGTGGACATCCTTGTCTTGTTCCAGATCTTAATGGAAATGCTTTCAGCTTTTCACCATTGAGGATGATACTGGCTGTTGGCTTGTCATATATGGCCTTTATGATGTTGAGGTATGTTCCTTGTATCCCTAGAATTTCAAGGGCTTTTATCATGAATGGGTGTTGCACTTTGTCAAAATCTTTCTCGGCATCTATTGATATTATCATATGGTTTTTATATTTCTTTTTGTTGATGTGTTGGATTACATTGATTGATTTTCAGATGTTGAACCATCCTTGTGTTCCTGGAATGAATCCTACTTGGTCGTGGTGAATTATCTTATGGATACATTGTTGGATTCTGATAGCTAAAATTATATTGAGGATTTTTGCATCAGTGTTCATTAGGGAGATTGGCCTGTAGTTTTCTTGTTTTGTGTTATCCTTGTTCAGTTTTGGTATTAGTGTAATGTTGGCTTCATAGAACGTGTTTGGTATTATCCCTTCCTTCTCAATTTTTTGGAAGAGTTTGTGAAGGATAGGTACTAATTCATTTCTGAACGTTTGGTAGAATTCATTTGTAAATCCATCAGGTACTGGGCTTTTGTTTTTGGGGAGGTTTTTGATTACCATTTCAATTTTGCTGCTTGTATTTGGTCTGTTTAGGTGTTCTATTTCTTCTTTATCTAGCTTTGGGTGATTGTAGAGTTGTAGGAATTTGTCCATCTCCTCTAGATTGTTGAACTTGTTTCCATATAACTGTTCATAGTAGTTTCTGATTATTCTTTTGATTTCTGCTGTGTCCGTTGTGATTTCTCCTCTTTCATTTATGATCCTATTTATTTGTGCTTTCTCCCCTTTTTCCTTTGTGAGCCTGGCTAGGGGTTTGTCTATTTTATTTATTTTTTTGAAGAACCAGCTCTTGGTTTCATTGATCTTTTGGATTGTTTTTTTAGTTTTGATTTCATTTATTTCTGCTTTGGTTTTTATTATTTCTTTTCTTCTACTGGTTTTGGGGTTTTTTTATTGTTCTTTTTCTAGATCTTTGAGCTTTGAGATTAGGTTGTTTCTTTGAGTTCTTTCTTGTTTCTTGATGTGAGCCTCTATTGCTATATATTTTCCTCTTATTACTGCTTTTGCTGCGTCCCGTACATTTAGGATATTGGTGTCCTCCTTGTCATTCAATTCAAAGAATTTTTTAATTTCTTCTTTGATCTCCTCGTTAGTCCAGTGGTCTTCCAGTAGTGTGGTTTTCAATCTCCATGAGGTAGGAGATTTCCTTGCCTTCTTTTTATGGTTTATTTCTAGTTTGATGCCTTCATGGTCAGAAAAGATAGTTGGTATGATTTCAATCTTGGTGTATTTGTTGATGTTTGTCTTGGGTCCTAGTATGTGATCGATCCCAGAGAATGATCCGTGTGTGCTTGAGAAAAATGTGTAGTCAGATTTTTTTGGGTTTAGTGTTCTATAGATGTCTGTTAAGCCCAAGCGCTCTAGATCCTTATTTAGAGCTTCAGTGTCTTTACTTATTTTTTGTCACGTTGATCTATCCATTATTGATAATGGTGTGTTGAAGTCTCCTACTATGTATGTGTTTTCTCTGATGTCTGTTTTCAAAGATGACAATAGTTGTCTGATATATTTTGGTGCTCCTTCGTTTGGTGAATATATGTTAATGAGTGTTATTTCTTCTTGAAATATTGTCCCCTTGATCATAATGTAGTGACCATTGGGGTCTCTTTTTACCTGTTTGAGTTTGAAATCTGTTTTATCTGATAAAAGTATAGCTGTTCCAGCTTTCTTTTTTGGTCCATTTGCTTGTAGAATTGTTTTCCATCCTTTAACTTTGAGTGTATTTTTATCTTTTGTAGCTAAATGTGTTTCCTGGAGACAGCAAAAGGTTGGATTTTGTTTCTTAATCCAGCCTGAGACTCTGTGTCTTTTTATTGAAGAGTTTAGTCCATTTCCATTTAGAGTTAATATCGATATGTTAGCATCTGTATTTGCCATTGTGTTTGTCTTTCCTTTGATTTTATTTATTTATTCTTTTAATAACTTTTTTTTTGGCCTTCTTTCGTTGTTATTTGTCCCTCTGAGGTTCTGGCTTTAGGACTCCTTGTAGTAATTTTTGGAGTGGAGGTTTAGTCGTAATGAAATTCCAGAGTTTCTGTTTGTCTGGGAAGGTCCTTATTCTTTCTTAATAGAGGAAGGAGTGCTTTGTGGGATAGAGTATTTTTTTTTTTTTTTTTTTTGGTTAAAGATTCTTTATTTATTTATTTATTTATTTATTTATTTATTTATTTATTTATTTATTTATACAAGCACTGGGTACAGTCAGAAGCGCAGGAGGGTGAGAGAATTCACCAGAGCCAGAGCAGGGAGCAGAGCAGGCAGAAGGACCAAAGTACACTGCTGAGGGGAGCAGCGGGCGGCAGGAGAGGTCTGCACGCCATGTGGGACCCTCCTCCGGTGGCCGGGGAGCAGCAGGGGATCGAACCTGCACTGCAGAGGCTGCGGGCAGCTTCACAACCCAGTGCTCAACCGCTGGGCCACCAGGGAGGCCCAAGATAGAGTATTCTTGGTTGGCATCTGTTTTCTTCGAGTCTGTTGACTATGTCCCTCCACTCTCTCCTTGCCCGTAGTGTTTCTTCGGAGAAGTCTGATATCAGTCTGATTGGTTGTCCTTTGAATGTTATCTGTTTCTTCCCTCTTGTCAGCTTCATTATTTTTTCCTTGTCTTGGATTCTTTGGAGCTTTACTATTATGTGTCTTGCTGTATTTTTCCTTTTGTCATGGAAGTTTGGTGTTCTTCTTGCTTCTTGTATATCAATTTTCAGCTCCTTCTTCCGTTTGGGAAGTTCTCTTCAATTATTTCCTTGAATATTTTTCTGTTCCTACATCTCTCTCCTCTCCTTCTGGGATTCCTATAACTCTTATATTTCCTTTCCTCATGGAGTCAGATAGTTCCCAAAGTGTTTCTTCGGTCTTTTTCCTTCGTACTTCTCTTTCCTTTTCTTTTTTGGTTCTTTTTATTTCTGTGTCTTCAAGAGAACTTATTCGTTCTTCCATTTCATCTATTCTGCTTTCATTGCTTTTCCCAGAGTTCTTTAGCACCTCCATTAATTCTTTGATCTCCTGCATTTCTTTTACTTCCCTCTTTAGGGACTCAATTTCATTCTTCTGAGCATTGTTTTCCTTAATGACTTCCATCAGTTTTTTCATCATGGCAATTTTAAGTTCTTTTTCTGGAAGGCTCAGAAGTTCTTCCAAGTCACCGTAGTTGCAAGCTGGTGGGTGGTTTTATATTTTTTGTGGTGTGTCTTTCTTCTGAGCATTGCTACTTTGCTTGTAGTTTTTCTTTTCCCTGCTGCTTGTCTTCTAATTTGCCTTATGCGTTGGGACACTGTGCTGCTGGTACTGGCTGGCAACTTTTTGGTGTGTTCTTTCAGGAGTTTCAGAAACTGGCAATCCAAACAAGTCAAAAACTGTTATGCCAGAAGTCTAGTGAGGCAGTGGTACTTTGAGTATGGTAATTGTCACTGTCACAGAATCTCTCCTCCTTCTGTGTTTAGTCACAAATGTGCATCTTGAAGTCCCACAGACTTCCCTGGAGGTGGGGCAGCTGGATTGCACTCTGGGTTCCAAATCTCTGGATCCTCCTCTGGGCTCCAACTTCCTGCCAGAGGGACAGGGCTTGTGGGGGCCTTCAGCTCACCTCTGACTGCGCAGGGAACCTTCTCCCTCTGGCTCCATGGGGAGCCTTCTGCCAGATTCAAGCAGTCTTTATTGAAGAAAGGTCCCTGTCCTAAAATGGCATTTTGGAGACAGGCACACTCTTCCGCGTGCCCGGTCTGCCCCGGCCGTGGGTGCCTGCTCCCCATCTGGGTTCGGACTGCTGGCCTGAAGAGACCTGGCATGGGCAAACTTCCCAGCTCACCTCTGGCTCCTCCGGGAGCCTTCTGCTGGTTTCAAGCAGTCTTTATTGAAGAGAGGTCCCTATTCTAAAATGGCGATTTGGAGACAGGCACAGTCTCCCCCACTCTGGATCTGCCCCAACCGTGGTTGCCTGCTCCCTCTCTGGGCTCGGACTGCTGGTCAGAAGGGGCCTGCCTTGGGCAAACTTCCCAGCTCACCTCTGCCTCCTCCAGGAGCCTGCTGATGGTTTCAAGCAGTCTTTACTGAAGAAAGGTCCCAACATGGTTACTATTTCAATGTGTCTTTTTGTCTAGGTTCTAGAAGTTGGAAAACACTTTGTTTAATCAGACCACACTTTCCCCTATGCTAAATGAAGTTAACAATACTGGAAGTTTTCTTTATCTTTTTTTATTCCAGCCTCCCATCCTCTGCACTGAGGAGGGTCTGTGGTCTGAGGAGTTCAAGTTATGTGAGAATCTACAAGGGGAATGCCCGCCACCCCCCAAAGAGATGAATTTTGTAGAGTACAAGTGTGAACAGGGATATGGGATTGGTAAGTTTGGGTAGGGATGCTGAATTCTGCTCTCAAGTGACCCTTTAATTAGGTACAGCTGGATCTTGGATCCCAGAAGAGTGGATGCAAATGCAAGTTGATTCCGAGCTGCTTTAGGAAAATTTATGGCAAGTTTACTCTCTTTACTCTCATTTGTGTATGACATCAGTGTAGCTGCTGAGACATTCGCATAGTGTCTGGTCCTGTTACCCACTTTGCGGCCGGCTGAGAGTGAATTGATGAGTGTCAAGAGTTATAGTTCCAAGAGCCACACACCACACATGAACTGGGCTCTTCCATTCTCTCTTTTATTGTTACGGGAGCAGAGAGTTCCTGAAAGGGATTACTTGAGATTGTATTTGCTTGCTCTGCTCTTCAGTCATTCTCTACAAGAGACCAGGCTCCAGAGCCTGTGGGCAACTTCTTATTCAAATAATTGCAATGAAAGGTCTATATAGCCAGAGCTGATTTATAGTGATGTTGACTCAACTTTGTACTAGCTGGACCTAAGTATCCTAGAAAAAAGATCATGTTTATAGAAAACACTGTATGATTACTAAATTCTGAATTGCACAAGTAAGGAGTGATTTTATAAATCTAATCTATGTAGTGCCATTTGATATAAACCAAGTTAATTAGAAACCTCATTAGTATCTGAGATGGTTCTTCAGCATCTTCAAGATGCTTTTTGCACCGTGATATCTCTTGCTCAGGCATGTTATATTGGGGTGCTTAGACTATGTTTCTTGAGTGGTATTTCATGAACAAGTTCTCATTTCAGAATAGCACATGTTCACATGCATAGAGATCTTAAGGTTCAAGTAGCTCTTTGGGTTACTATAAAAGTTAGTGAAAACATATAAATATAGATAGAGATAATTTAAAGGACACCTGGAGATCATTGGGTCTATAAATGAGGAAACAAGACCTTAAGAGTGTCTTCTTTGAATAAAAATTTAGAGGACACTTGGACCCTGCATACAGGGGACTAGAGCAAGATTTTTATTCAAGAGGTGAACAGATGAGCAAAATGTCTGTTTCTAACTCCTTGTTGCTTCTTTTTCAATTACATGAGTTACTTGGCTACCAGTGTAATATAACAATCTCCAGTATTGTAACAGTCATTATAAATCTACCTTTATGATTATTGGCCCATTTTTTCCTTAGTTCATAAAGTTCTGGGGTACTAGACACCACAATTAATCCACAAGATCATATAAGGTAAAATGATATTAAATGTATTTAATAGGCATCAACCAGTCAAGGTAAACTTTAGCTGGAAAGAGTCCTGCAGTGTTCTTGGAGGTCTATTAGGAGCTAATTTTTGTGGCAGGGTCATGGCAAGACTCAGGGATTCTAGAGGAGTGGTTGTATCAGATCAGAGGGAGGAGGTTAAAGGGGTATTGGCTTGGTACAGTGGCTTTTGTTGGAGTCACTGGGCAACCTAAACTACTCATATCTCAGCCACCCCAATATCCTCAGGGACACTTAATATGCACCTTGCATTTCTTGTAGCTAACTATTCATAATCAAATCTTCTTGGTTGGGATTTGTTATTTAAACTTAGTGCCACTGTAAGTTGTAATGAGAAAGATATTTTTATTTCTCTATCCCCAAACTTTTCCCCCAATATCATACTTTCCTTATTAGAAACCATTGAAATACAGGAGAAAATTCCCCTACCCTTCTTGGTTCTTTTCAGACTGGTCAAAACAGCATCATATAGGTTGGCAGAGAAAAAAAGTTCAATTATAATAATTGGACAGGATGACGGAAGTGATCATGCAGGTCTTGTTTCAGGTCAGGGAGAATAGGATTTAAATCCTAAACCAAAGGATGAAGGGAGATATGTTGCCAGGGAGTGAGGAGGGAGACTTCAAATGCTAAGGAGGGGAATACCTTATCTTTAATAGTAAAGATGTGTTTCTCATACAGAAATGTCATGTTAACTGATAAGCCTACACTTGAACAATACCCCCCAACTACATTCTTCTAGGTCATTAAAGGGAGAAGTGATAGCTTCTTTGATCAGGAATAGGGAAAAGTCTTAGAAAGCAGTGATCATTTCGTCAATTTGGAGTGGGCAAAGGATTATGGGAAAGGCAAAAGCTTCTCCGAAGCCTCCAGAGCCTCCATTATTTTCAGCTTCAATAATCTGTCAGAGTGGAGCATCTTGAGGAGACCAAAACTGAGAATCTTGGGGTGGTCTATTTTTAGCACTTTTTATCATTTAGCATAGAAATATCTCTGTAGTTATACACCAGACAACTATCATCCCTGCCCACCTCCTAAATAATGTGGTAACCGAAAATGTACAAAGAAATTGCTCTTGAAAACAAGGCTATTGTTTCCAGGATAAAAAAGACTAAGATCAGGGAAGGTCAAATCTCTGTTGTAAATTTCTGTTCCTTCAGGTGCAGTGTGTTCCCCATCATGTATAATCCCTCCTAGTGATCCCGTAATTCTGCCTGAGAACATCACTGCTGACACGTTGGAGCACTGGATGGAACCTGTCAAAGTCCAGGTAAGGGAAGGGACATTTTTATGTGCTGAGAATGTAAGACTGCTGAGTAATTACCAATCTACAGTATATTCCCTGGAGTAATTTCAAAAGCTTTCAAAGTAGTCCCTGGATTAGGGGAAAGGCTAAATCTTCTCCTTGGCCCCAGAAACTTTCTTATTGTCAGCCAAAATAGCAGGGTAACAATGCTGAGAATCCATCCAAAAACCACACGGACCCTTCCTACAGAGAAGAAATAAAAGTCAAGAAGAACCCCTGGTAGCCTAGCGGTTAACTATCAGTGCTATCACCATCACCACTAGGGCCTGAGTTCAATCCCAGGTCAGGGAGCTAATCCACATGGTGAAGCAGACCTCTCTTCTCTCCCCCACTGCTCCCCTCAGCAGTGTATTTCAGTAGATCTGCCTGTTCTGTTCCCATTCTTTCTCTGGTGAATCCTTTCACTCCCCACACCTCTGGACTACACCCAGTTCTATGCAAAAGAAAAAAAAAGAAGAAAAAAATAACATGGCCCACATACAAAGGAAAGTTTAAAGAATAAGATAGAAAGAAGACTCAGAGACATAAAGAACAATGAAACAGGAAGGAAATTGAAAGAGGAAAGTTATTACTAATGAAAAATAGGATGGGAAGACTTAGGATAAGCCAAAGAAATATATAAAGATGAAATAAGAATGGCAGGGAAGAGAGAATTAGAAAAGATGAAAAAAAAAAAAAAACCTGAAAGCAGGAAGAGAATAAAGGAACTGGCATAGCCTTTTCTGTGTCCATCTCCTGCCCTGTGTCAGCTCTAAAATCGTTTCCATCAACCCTCTGGTATTCCAGCCATTTTGAATGGAACAAAATCCATTATATCTACAACCTCTGCTCTAGGCTTTCCATTTGCTTTCTTTCTCATCTGAAACCTGACTCTGCCATGAGGACTCTTCCTTCTCACGGGGCCCACTAGGTTCTGCTTTCTCTTTCACACCACTTAGCCCCTGGAGCCAGGAGACAGGGAGGTACCCTCCTGTCAACTCATCCTCCCTGCTCCTCCCTGAACTTCCTCATACTTAAATCTAATGTCCACCCTCGCTGCTGCTGTTGTCTTCTGACCCTTAGGTTACTCCCTCTTCTTATTTCTTGAGCACTTTAGCTCCTGGGCTGTAGTCACTTTGGCTAACACTCCATCATACCTTTTGTTGATTTCATCATCCATGCAATTGGTTCTTGCAAAACATGGATTCTCAGTTCCCTGGGCTCCTTTCTTCCAATGATAACCTTTACCTGATTTTTTTTTCTTCTGCATGTTTTCCTTGATTCATCTAATCCGGCCACAATGGACTCTTGGCTGATTTTTAACACACGAGGCGCACCCCCTTTGTCTAGTGGTTCCCTCTGCCTAGAATTCTCATCTTCTATATAACTTCACATCTTGCTTTTCTGCTTTCTTCAGAATTTTACTGAGACTTCAGAAAAACTCTTTGGCTACTCTATCTAAAATTTTATCTCCCTTAAAACTTTATATCTCCCTTCCTCCCTTTACTTTCTCACCTTAGGAATTGCCATTTCTGAGCACATTATATATGTTCCCTATTTATCTTATTTATCTGTCTCCCTTCACAGCTACAACAAAAAAAATCCATGAGGCATTAGTATCTGTTTTATTCTCTACTACGTCCTATATCCTAAAACAGTGCCTTGTATATAGTAAGTGCTCAATAAATATTTGAAAAATGAGTAAATAAAAAAGCAAGAAAATACTTTATAAGATCTGCATGCAGAAGATCTTGTGGTGAGCTAGTTATTTCTTCTTAGAATGAGGGAAGTTGGGGCTATAGAAGTCCTGGAAGTTTGTTTACTTTATTAGACTGTCTAATGAATAAAATTTTTGAAACACTGTTCCCATTGACTCACCAAACAATGGACTCTAGAGATATACCACATTTCATTTGGAAATCATTATCAGATTGCTCCATTTTCCTCACAGGTTAAATGTGTTATGTTTTTGCAAAGATTTGTGTCAAAGCTAGAAGATCAGGGAAAAAAATAAGTATGATTCAGTGGCTAGGGATTAATCCAGTCACTTTGTCAATCAGCAAACATTTGTTGGGGTTTACCATGTGCCCTGGGACTGTGCTAAGTGCTGGGAAAATGGAGATGAAGGAAAATAGTTTTCCTTCTGCTTCCAAGACTAATAATCTGGCCATGATTATAATAATGCAACATGGGAGGAGATTAAGCTGTAGTGGAAGTGCTGCAGGAACACCCGAGAGGAAGCAACTAACTGTTTTGCTCAGGAGCTTGGGAGAGTTAGGGAATAATCAATAAACCAGAAACTAGATTTTCCTCTGGCTCTTGAACTGTGATGAGGACGAACATTCTAGAGGGTTAGGAAAGATAAGAAGTTCTGTACTGTTGAAGCCAGGGTGTCTTTGGTGGTGAGGGACAGGGAAGATGGGTGGCAGAGGATCAGATAGGAAAGCAGTGGGGAGACCAGATCCCGGAGGCCATGGCATGCCCTTCTTAGGACGCTGGACCTAGTGAGAACTCTGAGGAGGATGGAGCTCTGCTCAAGCCTGAGGGCTGCATGAAAATGCATAGAGTGTGAGGGAAAAAGCAGAAAAGCAGCTTGGCTGGGTCTCCTGTCCTCCAGCCTTTTGAGATGTTCATTCCCACATCCCACTGCCTGTTGAAAAGATTTAGCTGAGATTCCAGTGCCCTTGAGAAAGAGCTTCGGCCCCATGTTTCATGGCGTGTCGATGGCCCAGCCCCTGTTCTTTGGCCCCTTTAACGTGACTTCTTATTATGAAAGCCTTCTCTTTCTCTCTAAGCAACCAAAGGGAGAAAGGCTTGGGACACCAGAGATCCTTTTTTTTTTTTTCCCTCTTGGGAAAGAAACTGCTTGAGAAACCATCCCACACTCATCTCCCTGTGTCTCCAACAAGACTCCCAATGGGATCTATCAATGGATGTGGGGATCATGTGGCCTGAGCACAGGCCTCTCAGTAATTGGGGTTCTCCTACCTGTTCTTCTTCAAATGGAACATTCAGAAAAGAGCAGGGCATTTGTCTTCAAAAAGACTGTGGGAATCCCTGCAGAATGGCCACTTCCAAATTGGCAAACAATAGCCTCTTTTATTCAAGTCTGCCTTACTCAAATGACATATCTAAGTAGTCATCATTTATTTACCTCTATTCCATAATGCTTTGTTCATGTTTACATTCCTAACATCTTTTTCAGTGTCTGACATTTATTTCTAGATATAGGCATATATATATATATATATATATGTACACACACAAACATATATGTGTTTCGTAAATAATATATGCAATGAGATATAAAAATGCGTATTGTGTAATATATTAGAGTGCGTAGATATATAAACATATATGTATATCTAAAGTTTCATTGAATCTTACCACAAACCAATAAACTACGGAGGAAGTCACTTCTCTCGACCCTGAGAAGTCCCTTATTCCCACACTCCCTCCTCATGAAATCTAAAACAAATAATTTAGAGAGCTATGTCCCTACAATTCTTAGTGTGAACCCATTTGTTTTTAAAGAATCATCAAATATATTTCTTATGTGCCTGTGAAGTTTATTTTCCTTTCTCTGGGGGATCAACTGGCTTTTATTCTGCAATGATGCCTGACTCCTGGAAGAGTGTAGTTTTTATTAAAGGAAGAATTTCTGAGAATTTGCGTAGCCTGAGATTTTGGTGAAAAACAAAGTCACAATTAGTATAAAAAGAAAATTGAGGTCTTCCTGAGTTCAAATACTATGAACTCGTCCCTTGGATTCTCAGCTCATCAGTGAGGGGGCAGATAGGACTGTCTCTCTTATAGGTGGATATAAAAATTCAAAATAACTCTTGTGTCTCATGCAGACTCTAGCATGAGTTCTGAAGTAAGAAAAAAGGAGATTTCAGGCCACTTAGTACAAATATTACCTTCTCAAACATCTTTTGCCTCTGAAAAGATAGCTCCAGCTAGCTCAATGAAAAAGAAAAAAAGGTCTACATTTTGCTTGCTTGTGTGAATGCATAGACTGCAGTGTATAGATTATTTGTCTCTTTTCTGCCCCTTTTACAAACTGGGCCAGGAAAAGAATTAATGCCATTTTGTGCTTCCTAGTGGAACATCTCTGGCTAAAGAAGTATTTTCTAACAACTTTTGTTGTGAGGCTGAGAGTAAGGATGAAAAAATACCGTTATTTTTAAATATTTCAAAGGCATGCTGACTATGGAAGACAATAAATAAGGCTTTGACATTCTCCCATTGCTTTTTCTGGGCCTTTGTTATGATAGTGTCTTCTTCCCACACCTACTATACACAATGATCTAGACTTTTCTCTGCATCAGCAGAGAAATATTCAGACAGAAAGAGAGGACTCCATCCAATGGGCTTGTTGGCAGTGAAATAAATTCTTTCCAGTCAAGGTGACCAAATAGTGGGATCCGGGAATTGGGCCAGGCTGGGGACAGCCAAATGCCCCATCAGTATTATTTTGCTCAGACCGGGAGAGAAAGGCCTCTGATGGCCTCCTGCACCTGCTGGCAGCATCTGGATGCCCAAGAGCCTTGGTGCCTGAGCCGAGGGTGTGGTAAGAACACCCCTCAGACTTCTACTGGAAGAATTTTGTGTTTTTCCCATTTCTGTTCCCTATTCTTTACTTTTCCTTTTCTGTTATTCTAATCTCCACTTCCCCCTACACTGTAAGATTCTTTTTTTATTCTTTTTCTTTTTATTTTTATATTCCCCATACAATTGCAAGTACTATTTTGACCCCAATCCCTCCTTTCTCTCCCCCAAAGAGTGTCTCTGTTTCATAGTTGTTTGTTGAGGTAAGATTCTTAAGGGTAGGAATGGTGTCTTACTTTTGTAAGCATCCCCCCAGTGCTTGATTCAATCCATCAATACTAGGGAACAAGAGCCTCAGAAGAGAAGGGCTCCCATCTCCCCACATTCCTCAGGGTAGACCTTTTGATTTTGAAAAAAAGCCAATGTAAGGTTAA